ACCATCAAGGGAGAAGAGCAGAGAGCGGGACCCTACCCAGAGAAGCAGTGATGCCTGAAATGGAGCCAGAGATGATGACGTGGAGCGATGGAGCAACTGGAGACTATAGATCAAGAGAGGGAGAGCAACTATGTGCTGAAGACCTGGTGAGCACGGGGGAAGGATTGCATGGAGGGGATTGTAACCATCGCAATGAGACAATATACGATAGAATGAATGTAAAACCAATGTTCTCCCATGTAAACTATCACATAATTCACAATAAAACATTTTTAAAAAAAAGAGAGACTCTGGGAAAAAAAAAAAAATTTCCAAAGTCTTATTACTGGTTGGAATTCCAAACCAAGCTTGTCACACTCTGCCATGCTGACTCTCCTTATCCATGTTCTATGTGACACATTTGTTTATATCCCTGTTTTCCCTACAATTAAAAGAAGAACTCATCTCAAATGGAGTAAGTCTGGAGAACTTGTTTCCCTAGGAGATAGCTCGGGCTGCTAATATTACCAGGATCGTATGAGTGTAGGTGCAGTTACCTGAGAAGGTCAGGAAGGTTTGTATGCACCCAGAACCTCAGGAACAATACCCATGTTCTACCCCCACCACTGAGAATCCCACTGTGCCCCTGTCAGGGGCAGACTATGAAAGTGATTTAAGCATGGGACCACTTTCCCCATCCAAGGAAATTCTCCATTTTTCCTGTCTCTGAGCAGTAAGCAGAAAAGATTAGCCAATATGGAGGCAGAAGAAAATCATTTCACCAGGGTAGAGAGACTTGAATTGGGAATAAAAATGCAACAGATATTCATGAAATGTGACTAGTACCAGTCTGACTCAAAGGTCTTATTTCCTGAGGTTTTTAACTGTTTTCTTGGCTTCACTCTATAGGCTTAAGCACAACTTGGAATCAAGGATATATGGTAGCAATATTATAGGATGGGTTCATAACATGCAGTATGCCAACAGAAGCTAACATGCAAGAGGCAGATGGCAAATGCGGCCAGTCTCAGACCCAAGGAGCCATTCAGAAGCCACCCACTCCAAGTTATCCATTCCCGGCTACTCACCATAAAGTCGGTGGTTGCACCTGAATTGGCATGCCTGAGGTAGACAGGGTTCACACTGAAGGTCTGCTGTAGCTTGTACTTGTCCTTGACCCTGTGGGATTCCCAAGGACCATTAGTCAGTGAGATCTCTCAAAGAAAGCAAGGCTTTCCCACACACTCAGAGGATGGCTTCCACACTCACCAGAACCCAGTACAGTCAAAGTGCACCATCATCCACTTGGAAGGATTAAAGGTGAAGGAATCGGCATACTCGATGCCCTTCAGAAACCCCCGGAACTCGGGGCACAGGAAGGCAGTGCCCGCATATGCAGCATCAATGTGGAGCCACAACCCCTCCCTGGCACCTGAGGAGACAAAGGTCACATGAATAGGGGGTGTGAGGGACAATCAACTGGCCAAAAGGCATCTCAGGCCTGGCCAACCTGGGTGATGTGCTGCAAAGAGAAGAGCTGGGAATAGATGGCCTACATTGAGGTGAGCGGACTGAGTGAGGTGCTTCTGTCTCCTCACTAGAAAGCCTCTCAAGCGTCTCCCTGACCTTTTTCCTCTCACCAGATAGAGGGGCAACATCCTCTTGGCTTCAACCTAGAAATTCCTCCTACAGAAACCAGCTTCCCACTGGCCCAGAGAGGAATGTTAGTGCAGTTAGAACACAGTCAAAGAGGAAATGTCTCCCTTGTTATCATCTTGTTTAGGGATTTTAAATAGTCCCATTTGGGTTTCTTCACCTTTATCTCTCCCCCTACCCCATAATTTCTCCAACCCTTCTCTTTTCCTTTTCTTAGCCTAGAATATAAAATATTTCATGTGGCTCCAACCACTTTGTGTTTTGAATATAACCTGCTTGGAGTGGGTTTTGACATACACTGGAGAAGGTGGACACCTGGATGGGTGTAGATATGGGCTCTCCCATGGTTCTGTCCTAGAAAGGATGCAGCAGAGTAGAGCCATTCTAACCCTTGGGAGGAGCACATTGAGAATAATTCCACCAAGATTGGTTCACGTTCTTGCTTCTGGGAAATGCATAACTTGTCTTCCTAAACAGACGGGGCAGATACTTACAGATGGGACCCAGCTGTGACAAGCAATCAAATGCACAGACCCCAGTGGTCCCTAGTGTTGCACATACCTGGGGAGAAATAAAGGCACATTGTCATGGGTAGGTCGTCTCAGATTGCACATATTGTTGTTGTTGTTGTTGTTGTCAGGTGCCATCGAGTCGGAACCGACTCATAGCGACCCCATGCACAGCAGAACGAAACAATGTTCGATCCTGGGCCAACCTCACTACCGCCGCCACACCTGAGTCCATCAATGATGCCACCTGGCTGATCCATCTCGTTGGGGGTCTTCCTCTTCTTCTCTGACCCTCCACCCTACCCAGCATGACATCCTTCTCCAACGATTGTTTCCTCCGGACAATATGTCCAAAGTAGGAGAGACGAAGTTTAGCCATCCTGGCCTCCAAGGAGCACTCTGGCTGCACTTCTTCCAAAACAGATCTATTGGTTCTTTTGGCATGTAGCCTGGAGAAAATGATCTAACCACAGATATTACCTACATCCACCCATACCACTAGTTGCTGTTAGGTGCCTTCAAGTTGGTTCCAACTACAGCACCCATATATACAACGAAACACCGGCTGGTCCTGCACTATCCTCACCTTTGTTGCTACATTTCAGTTTATTATTACTGCCACAGTGTTAATTCATCTCGTTGGGGGTCTTGATCCACCATTTTACCAAACATGATGTCCTTCTCCAGGGACTGGTCCTTCATGACAACACATCCTAGAGCAGTGTGTATTTCACACTATTTTTTAGCATGGCCCACATTAAGAAATATATTTTATACCGCAACCTAGTTCACATATATATGTGCATTTGAAATAAAGGTTTTGCAAAATTATACATATCCTGGCTACATGAAGCACTCTGATGTTTTCTATTCTCTCTCCCTCCCTCTCTTTTTCTCTCTCTCTCTTTCAAATGATTGTTATGACCCACAAAATGTATTACACAAGACACCCATAAATTGTAACTCATAATTTACAAAACATATTTGAAAACCTTCCTGATTTTATTTGCAGCATGTTACTTATAAAATCCCTTCCTCCCCTCCAAGCTCTCTCGCTTTGAGTTTTACGAATATACATGACTTACAAAGACAGGCACCAAGCCCCGTGCTTTGTCCTCCTCAATAGCTGTCTGAAGAGTGTCACCTTGGAGGGAGAAGTTGTCATCCACAGGCAGAAATCTCATCTTCACAAGAGAAATCAGACCAGCCTTTTCCACTGAGGAGTGGGCCTAAAGAGACCATGCACATCTATTAGCTAGGAACTCACCAGAGGTAAGCACTCTCCAGAAACTACCGATGCACAGCACAATACCAAATACAATTGTTTGAATTGTGCTTTCACCTGTAGTTACTGGGGAAAGTCTGGATGGTACAAATGGGTAGCATTCTTTTGCTGATACAAGAAAGGTTGAAAAGGCTTCGTGTCTACTTCCCCCAAATCTGCCAGTTGAGCACAGTTTTACTTGGAGACCTGGAGTTACCGTGAGTTGAGATCTACTTGACAACAATTGGGCTGTTGGTAAGTTGGAGTTCATAGACAGCCTCCAAAGTCTGAACTGTCCTGAGCTCCATCATAGTCATGTCTAGAAGGAAGCAGCTCAAGGACTGAAGACCCCAGAAGTCAGGAGACAAGAAATCAAGCACTGACCTGAGGTTTGTCCTGCATTGGGCACTCACCTGGTCAGAGGCGTAGGCAATAAGTCGGGCGTTCAGGGAGGACTCGTCAGCATCGCACTCAGAAGTTTTCATTTCCAGGATTTTGTTCTTCCTTGCTGCCAGCAGAGCTATCAAGGTCGATTCACTGACGGTACTCTGTCATGAAAGCAGGGTCAGAATAGCAGCCTCTCATTCGCACGGTTTTTCTGGCCAAATTCCTCTGCATGTTTCATAGGGTGTGTGTGTGTGTGTGTGTGTGTGTGTGTGTGTGTGTGTGTGTGTGATAGCAATTTCTAAAAAGTGCACGCTCCTCCCTAAGGGAATATCCTTCCTCCCCAACAGGTATACCTAGTCTGAAGTGCACATTCACAATACACTGCACATTCCTGGGACACCTCTAATTTTCCAGGGAAGTAATGAAAACAAAATTTAACTTAATATCAACATCTCTAGTAGAGAGGCCACAGAGACCAAAAAGAGAATGACTAATCCCTGACAGACATAAGTTTGCTCCCCATGAAAACCACATTTAAAAGAATCTCTAATTTATAAGGTATAAAGATGGAATTGGATGGGAGTGTGAGCCCGGTTTGTTGCTGTTACCACTGTCCTTATGAAGGAGACTTTTCCACCTATAAGATGGAGAGCATTCCTTGAACTGCCTCTCAGGTGGGAGTGTGTTATTGTTAAGTGCCGTTGACTTGGCTCCAACCCATAATAACCCTGTATCATCAGGTTTCCGAGGAGCAGCTAGTGGATTTGAACTGCCGACCATTCAGTTAACAGTTCGATGCTGATCCTACATTGCCTCTCCATGACTCTAAAATTGTTGTTGTTGTTGTTGTTAGGTGCCATCAAGTTGGTACTGACTCATAGTGACTCTTTGTACAACAAAGCAAAACAGTGTCTGATCCAGTGCCAACCTCACAGTTGTTGCTATGTTTGAGTCCATTGCTGTTGCCACCTTGCTGACCCATCTCGTTGGAGTCTCCCATTTTTTCTCTGACCCTCCACTTTACCAAATGTTATATCCTTCTCCAGGAACTGGTCTATCCTGATAATAAGTCCAAAGTATGAAAGACCAAGTCTGGTCATCCTGACTTCCAAGGAGCATTCTGGCTGTACTTCTTCCAACACAGATTTTTTTTCTTCTTTTGGCAGTCCATGGTACTTGCAATATTTTTCTCCAGCACCAAAGTTCAAATGCATCAATTCTTCCACAACCTTCCATATTCGCTTTCTAAGTTTCACATGCATATAAGGTTATTGAAAATACCATGGCTTGAATGAGGCGCACATTAGTCCTCAAACCGACATCTTTGCTCTTAAACACTTTGAATTATTTGCCTAATTGTATTATTTGCCTACTACAATACTGCATTTGATTTCTTGACTGATGCTTCCATGAGTGTTGAAAGTGAATCTAAGCCAAATGAAGTCTTTGACAACTTCAATCTTTTCTCCATTTATATGGATGTTGTTTACTGGTCACATGGTATGGATATTTGTTTTCTTTACATTGAGGTGCAACCCATGTGTTCTTCCCTTTTGGTTTTCTAGCTCCAGATTTTGGCACATTTCATTGCAATGTTTGACTTTGTCTTCTCAAACTGACCTTTGAAATTTTCTATTCAGCTCTTTTCCTCATTTCTCCCATTTGCTTTAGCATCTCTACACTCAAGAACAAGTTTCAGAGCCTCTTCTGACATCCACTTTGGTCTTTTCCTTCTTTCTTGTCTTCTTAATGGCCTTTTGTTTTCTTCCTGTATGATGTTCTTGATGTCACCACACAACTCTTTTGGTCTTCTGTCTTTAGTCTTGAATACATCAAATCTGTTATTCAAATGATCTCTAAATTCAGGTGGGATATGTTCAAGGTCATATTTTGGCTCTTGTGGACTTGTTTTATTAATTTTCTTCAGCTTCAGCCTGAACTTGCATATGAGCAATTGATGGTCTGTTCCACAATCTGTCTCTGGCCTTGTTTTGGCTGATAATATGGATCTTTTCCACTGTCTGACAACTGTAGAATACAAGAGTCCACACATGTAGTCAGTTTGACTTATATGTATTCCATCTGTTGAGGTCCATGTGTATAGTCATCTTTTATGTTGTTTTAAAAAGATATATGCAATGAACAAGTCATTGGCCTTACAAAATTCTATCATGCAATCTCCAGCATCATTTCATCACCAAGGCCATATTTTCAACTACTGATCCTTCCTCTTTGTTTCCAACCTTTGCATTCCAATCACCAATAATTATCAATTCAGTTTGATCAATTTCAGACTGGAGAAGTTGGTGAAATTCTTCAATTTTATTATCACTGGCTTTAGTGATTGGTGTGTAAATTTTAATAATAGTGGTATTAACTGATCTTCCTTGTAGGTGTTTGAATATTATCCTATCACAGATAGCGCTGTACTTCAAGACAGATCTCGATATATTCTTTTTGATATTGAATGTGATGCCATTCCTCTTCAATTTGTCAGATTCAAAATGGCCAATACCAGTGCATTTCAGTTCACTAATGCCTAGGATGGAGTCCTGGTGTGGTGCTGTATGATAAAGCACTGGATCACAAGGTAAGTTTGAATCACAAGGTCGAGGGTTCAAACTCACTAGCCTTTCCTTGGAAACCCTATACATGGTTGCTATGAGTCAGAACCGACTCAATGGCACTTAACAATGCCTAGGATATTGATGTTTATGTGTTCCATCTCATTTTTGCCAATTTCTAATTTTCCTAGATTTATACTTTGTACATTTTCTAATTATTAATGGATGTTTACAGCTGTTATTCTTCATTTTGAGTTGTGCCCCATCAGTAAATGAAGGTCCCGCAGGCTTTACTCCATTCATATCATCACAGTCGACTCTATGCAGAGGAGGCAGCTCTTCCCCAGTCATATTTTGAGTGTCTTCCAACCTGAGAGGCTCATCTTCCAGCATTATATCTGACAATATTCTGGTGCTCTTCATCATGTTTCAATATTAATATTCTGGTGCTGACAGTGTTCCACTGTTATTCACAAGGTTTCCAGTGACTATATATTCGGAAGTAGTCCATATAGGTTATTCAAACAAGCTTTGGACCCTGAAGGGCCACAGCATGCAATAATGTGTGAGTGGATGCAGAAAACGTGGCTGTTTCCATTTAACAGAACAGGCCATTTCATCCTCACATCCACTCTTTGAAGAAAATATTTTTATTTGCTGTTGTTAAGTGCCATTGAGTCTGTTCCGAGGCTTTATATATAGGGTTTCTGAGGCCTTAAATCTTGGCAAGAGCAGAAAGCCTCGTCTTTCTCCTGCTGAGTGGCTGGTGGGCTCGAACCATAGACCTTGTGGTTCACAGTCCAGTGCTTATTGTATTCAGCTACCGTGCTCCAATATTATTATTGTCTCTATTTTACAGATACGAAAACCATGAAAAGTATACATTATAGGAGAATTTCAAGAATTTAGGAATTTTCAAAAGTCTCAGGACCAAGGTCCCACTAATGTCAAGAGTTTCTAAATGCAAAAGTATCTAGAAATATGCATAGTCTAGAGGAGACAGCCAAGGAGCTCTGGTAGCGTAGTGGTTACGAATCAGGCTGCTAACCTCAGGGTCATCAGTTCGAAACTACCAGCTGTTCCATGGGAGAAAGATGAGGCTTTCTCCTACTGTCAAAATTTACAGCCTCGGAAACCCTGTTCAGGGTCACTATGAGTCAGAACCGACTCCACGGCACATAACAACAACAACAACAACAAGAGGAGGCAGCCAGTAAGCTACATTGTGCTGCATTACTCTTGACAAAAATGAAATATTTGAAAAACCACAGTTTGATAGATATTCAGAAGATAGGGTCGTAGGATAAGATTAACTGGTGGATGTTGCTTATCTCTTCCACTGCTGAAGCTCTCCTAGGTCTAGAAGAGAGGGGAAAATGTTCTCTGTTCTTCTGTTTCTTTCTTACCAGGAGATAGAAAGCAATATGCATGAGAGGAGTTGTCAGATTACAAACTAAGAAATTGGAATCAAGTGGTACTGGAAATGGAATAATGTGTGGACATTTTTACTCATCTTTAAAGAAGAGAGAAAGAAAGAGATGTGGTGGTAGCCACAAAGTAAAGGCAGAAGGATTCAGGGTGGTAATGGCAGAAAGGGTGTGAGAGGGGCAGAGATGATAACTTTGGTGATGGTGGGTTTGGTAACAGTGATATCAGTCACAGTAATGATGATAGTAATACTGACGATGGTGGTGTCAATCATAGTGGTGATGGGGGTAATGATCATGATGGTGCTGTTGGTAATGGTGGTAGGAATCATAGTGGTGATGGGGTAATGATAATGATGGTGGTGTTGGTGATGGTGTCAATCACAGTAGGGATGGGGGTAATGATCGTGATGATGGTACTGTTGTTGGTGCTGGTGATGTCAATCACAGTAGTGATGGGGCAATGATTGTGATGGTGGTGTTGGTAATGGTGGTGTCAATCATAGTGGTGATGGGTAATGATTGTGATGGTGGTGTTGGTGATGGTGTCAATCACAGTAGTGATGGGGTAATGATCGTGATGGTGCTGTTGGTGTTAGTGCCAGTGATGTCAATCATAGTGGTGATGGGGTAATGATAGTGGTGATGGTGTTGATGATGGTGATGGTTCATGATAGGGGTGGTGATGTGGTGATGGTGTCAATCATAGTAGTAATGGGGTAATGATCGTGATGGTGCTGTTATGATGATGTCAATCATAGCAATGATGAGGTAATGATTGTGATGGTGGTGTTGGTGCTGGTTGTATCAATCATAGTAGTGATGTGGTGATGACAGTGATGGTGATGGTAATAATAGGAATGGTGGTAACAGATATTAGTGGTGTGAGGCACATGGAGGAAACTCTGTGGTAAACAGGAGAATTGACTGGGCTAGTTTTTGGCTATCTAAACACTATGCCAATTGAGACACCTGCAAGACACCCCCTCCCTGGCTGCTGGGGTGGTGATGTAGGAAGTGCTCTGGTAGTCCCAGCATTTTCGCCAGCCAATCCATGACATTCATCTCCAGTTCTGTGCACACTGGGCTAGAAGCCTAAAGGAGGGAAATTAATATCATCAGTACAGCCCCAGGACCACCAAACCACCAAGATGCCCCTTTCAGAACCCAGGAACCATCCATCTCTGCCCTTGGCCTCCCTGGTGTCAGAAGGAGCCTATCATCTCCAGGAGAAGTTCAAGCTCCATGCCCCAGGCCCACCGCATCCTCTGCCAAGTCAAAAAAGAAAATGAACTTAAGGCTTTGGATTCTTGCCTCGCTCACTGAGGTGGATTCCTTTATGTCTCAAATAACCTATAGATAAATAATCCTAGAAATGATTGGCTTGGATTTGACTCCCCACATCCCCAAAATATCTAGCTAAGAAACACTCTGAAGCCTAGATGGGTGGGGAATTTTAGGGCTAGGAAAAAAGCACTCATTCCTGCAAAAGATAGTAACCTCCTCTACTTACCACACACACACACACACCCAATGATGGTTTAGCCTTAAAATACAAAGATATTCTAGGGGTACACTGGCACAACTTCAAGCTGATTGGTTCTTAAGGGAAGTCTGAGAGCATATTCCTAATCCTTCAAAGACACAAGTATGGGAGAAATTGGGGCCCAGCTGACATGAAAGTGTCCCCATTAGGATCCCAGACTTTGGCAACAGACAGATCTCCATTTGGATCTTATCTCTGTATCTAGAAGTGGCATGACTTCAGAGAGACAAGTAACTTAAATCTCAATCTCCTCACTTAAAAAATGGGGACAATACTTCAGATTCTGTGGGATCTGAAGTGTAAGTTCAAGAATATAGCCATGACTTTTTGGAGTCTTGGCATGGCGCTGTGGGTTAATGCGCCAGACTGCAAAGCCATTTGCACTGCAAGGTTGGCGGTTCAAAGCTGGTTCAAGCTCACCAGCTTCTCCTTGGAAACCCTATACAGGGTCAGCTATGGGTCGGAACCAACTCGACAGCACTTAACAACAGCAACAACAATATTTAATTTAGAACCCTGCTCAGAGAGTAGAAAATGCATCTGTCCCTGGTGTCATTTCCTGCTCTGTCCCCCAATGGCACTAGTTATGGTCATAGCTACTCACCCAGGTGAACCCCAAGCAGTTGATGGCATCCGCCAGCATGTCTCCCAGCAGAGATGGCCAAGAGGTGAGGGCCGGGAAGTAGGCGTGCATGTGGGGGCTCTGCCAGTGCACCACCTGAGGGCAGAACAGGCACACAGTTGGCATCAGGACCCATTTCCAGGAGAGGTTCCTTCTCCCCCCCCACACACACACACAGCAAGTGGCACAACTCAATAAAAATCAGACATGTTCATTAGTATCCTCACTATCCACATTTCTGATATTCTAAGTGAGTTTATCAGCAGCAGCTTGCACACATGCAAAGAACAGAAGAGAATGTGCAAACTGAAAATTGCCACAGTGATTGTTGTTGTTAAGTGCCGTCAGGTCGGTTCCAACCCATAGTGACCCTGCATAGGGTTTCTGAGGAGCAGCTGGTGAGCTTGAACCGCCGACTTTGCAGTTCTAATGGTTTTGCAGCCAGTCTGGTGCATTAACCCTCAGCACCATACCAGGACTTCTGCCACAGTGATTGGGGCTCTGGAATACTGAGTAGTGTTCACATTTGTCTCCAGTGCTTACCACCACCAACACACACACACAACCACCCAAGCCAGGAATAAAAGGAAGAGGAGACTATGAGCCTCAGAAGAGCCGGTTACTTGTCTCAGCTGGTTTCTTGCAAAGCCACCCTTTGATTTTTGGAGCACTAAGTTCTTAGGCGCCCAATCCCTCTTGGGTCAGTGGGATTGGTTCAGAGCTTCCTTCATTTTCTACTGGTGGTGGAGAGAGGAGAGGAGAGGAGAGAGCTACTTTCAGGCTACACCTGAGTCCACAATCAAAAACTAGACAAGTATTGTTACTGGTGCTGTAACTAGTTGTCTTTGAGTTAACCCTCAACACAACGAAACCTAACAATGCCCAGTCCTTATGATCAGTTTGGATCTGACCATTGTAATCCATAAGGTTTTCATTAGTAAATTTTCAAAACTAGATCACTGGGCCTTTATTCCCAATCTGTCTTAGTCCGGAAGAAGCTCAGCATCATGGCAACATGCAAGTCTCCACTGACCAGTAATGGCTGTACGCGAGGGGTGTGAGCTGGGAACCAAACTCAGGTCTCCTGCTTGGAAGGTGAGAATTCTACCAATTTTCCAGCCTCAAAAAGGAAAGGAAAATATGCATACAACAATGTGGATGAGCTTTGAAAACATGGTGCTAAGTGAAAGAAGCCAAACACAAAAGGTCTGATTCCATTTATATGACATGTCCAGGATAGGTGACAACACATGAAGATAAAAAGCAGATGGGTGGTTCCCAGGAGCAGTGGGGAGGAAGGAATGGGGGGCAACGTGGAGCTGTGGGTTAATGCTCTGGACTGCAAAGTTGGTTTGAACCACAAAGTTGGCAGTTCAAGGTCACCAGCCGTTTCTCGGAAACCCTATACAGGGTCACTATGGGTCGGAATCGACTCGATGGCACTTAACAACAACAACAACTTAACAGGGTTCCCTTTTGAGATGAAAATGTTTTGAACTAAATGGGCAGACAGACTGGTTTGGCACTGTGGGCTAATGTGTCAGACTGCAAAGTTGTTTGAACTGCAATGTCAGTGGTTCAAGCTCACCAGCTGCTCCTTGGAAACCCTATACAGGGTCACTATGGGTCGGAATCGACTCGATGGCACTTAACAACAACAAACAGGGTGGTGTTTGCATAACATTGTGAACATTCTAAATACCGTGGAACCATTCATTTTAAAATGGTTAGTTTTCTGTTATGTGCATTTGATCTTAATTTTTTTTTAATGAATTTAAAGAGGAACTAGACAGACAGGACTTCCACAAAGGCTTTAGAGCACCCTCGATGGGTCATCTGTCTCATTGGTTATCTAATCTCCCCTCATCTCACTGTTCTGCAAGCGTGTCCCCTTCATTTCTGTGTCTTTGAGCAATGCAGTATCCCGTGACAGGAAGGCCCGCCCTAACAGATGTGACCATCCAACGCCTGTTAAATCTTAGAGAATTACTAAATATTTCTTTCCTCCATCAACTCTTCCCCAACTCTCGTGACCCCTTTAATCCTTCCTCTCCCACAAAGCACTCTCATTCTGGATGTTTCAACCTGCTAAGAACTCGTCACATAACCTCGAAGTGCTTCATCTAGTCATTTACTGTGCACAAATTCTTATAATGCTTCAAGAACAAGGACCATGTCCTGTACAACATGTTACACGTAATGGAAGGAGCATAAGATCTGAAGTTCAAAGCTACAGGTCCCAGTCCTACCTCTACACCAACCAGCAGTGGGACCTTACAGATTTACTGTGAAGCCAAAGAACTGAAGCTACCAGGATCCACGTTTATGGAGACTTATTTCAAGATCCATATTTAATTTTTGTTTTTCTTAAAAGGAATCTCAAAATTTGTATATTCTTCAGGCCACATAAAGCCAGGATCCACCCCTGCACATTTTTAGAGCTCAGTTTCTCATTATAAAATAAATCCTGTCTCCTGGGTTGTTGTATGGGTTGCTGCAGAAAATTTGTAAGTATACAGCACAAATGATAATGTGGTTATTGAGTGATACAAAAGGTTAACACACTTGAGTATTAACTGAAAGGTGGGAGGTTCAAGGGTTACTTAAAGGACTCTCAGCAGAAAGACCTGGAGATCTACTTGCAAAATGTTAATCACTGAAACCTTACAGGCTGAAGTTCTACTCTGACACACACAGTGTCACCACGAGTCTACTCCACAGGAACTGGTTTTAATGTCTATTAATGGTAACCTAATAATGTGTTGCTATGCACATCTATGGTAGCATAGTGGTTACGAATCGGGCTGCTACCCTCAGGGTCAGCAATTTGAAACTACCAGCTGTTCCGTGGGAGAAAGATGAGGCGTTCTGCTCCCATAAAGATTTACAGCCTCGGAAACCCTGTACAGAGTCGCTATGAGTCGGAACCGACTCCACGGCACATAACGACAAAAACAATGTACATCCAGGGAGAGCTCGGTGGCTCTGTAGGATAAGCACTAGATTGTAAATCACAATGTTAGCTGTTCAATCCCACAGGTCGCTCCACAGGAGAAAGACGAGGCTTTCTGCTCCTGTAAAGATTTACAGCCTTGGAAACCCTATAGAGGGTCCTTGTGAATTGGAACTGACTCGACAGCACCAACAGCAACACACGTCCTGTGTCCTGACTTCTCCCAGATAATCATCGCTCTCCCCCTGATTTTCACCAGACAGAAGGATCAACATTGCTGGTGTTAGTTGCTGTCGAATCAATTTTCAACTCTTAGCACTTAACAACAACAGCAGCAATCCTATATTACAGAGGAGAACGGTCCCCCATTGAATTTTCTAGGCTGTAATTTTTAATTAGAGCAGATCACCTGATTTTTACTCCTGCAGGACCACTGGGTTCAAACCACCAACCTTTGGGATAGCAGCTGAGTACTTAACCATTGTGCCACCAGAGATCATTGACGTCATCATAGGTAATAACAGTACCTTTCAGTTTATATGTTTTATCTTACTTAATTCCCACAGCACTCCCCATGCAATAGACTCTACCATTATCCTGGCTTTACAGCTGAGTATCAGTGCTAACAGGAAGAGGCCGCATAACTGTGGATTCGCTCACCTCATAAGGGACCGATGACAGAGCTAAGACACGAATCCAGGTCTGTCAGACTCCAGAATGTAAGCACATCAGTGGAATAACATTCTACCCCTGGGCCACCCCCCAGAGTAAATGAGGATTATCTAGCCAGGGTTGGTATTAAAGGGAAAGGAGAGTTTTCCTCCTCTTAATGCTTAGGAGATGGCAGGAAGAGAACAATTCATCCAGTTTTCAATGAAGGTGCTTATGAAAGCTGAGAAAGCAAAGGACCAACTGCTTTCAGGCACCAGCTTGTGAGATGAGATCAAAGATGGGCTCTTCTTATCGCGGTCTTTAGTGACAGTATTTTGGAAACCCCTGAGAAGGGCTCCCATCTCCTGGCCCTATCAAGAGGCAATTGTCTGTTCTTGTAAGATAAATAGGGTAAGATAAGTCAGAGGAGGCCTTATCGAAAGCAGACAGGCCTCTGTGTCCAGAAATGAGCCTCGATGACCACACCCCCAGCAAATACTGGAATTCCTCTCAATCAAATGAATCAGCTCACTGCTTCATCTTTTGACAGTTGCTTTCAGTCTCACTACCAGATTACAGTCAGCCTCTTGGCAGATTACACTTTACAGAAGGGGATCCATGAGATAATCTTATCTGGGAGCTGGTCTCCTTGGTAAAATTTTACCGATAACAATAATTTTCAAAAAGATGCTTGTGAAATTAACTGAATGGTCAAAAAGAAAGGAGTATTTGGCTTTGTGCAAACTTGCCATCACTTTACTGCTATGGTCTCTGACCTTGAATAATTTCTCATTCCTGCCACCTCTGAGTGCAAGGCTCAGAGAAGGGGATGATGGGGACACATCTCAGGTCAGCCTTGGGAAAGGCCTCTGACCACATTCAGTCCAGACACAAACGCCCCATGCAGGGAGAGGAGGGGTGCAGCTAAATGGTGTGACTGGGTTTGCCACGGGCTTAGTCTGGGCACACTATGTCACTCACTAGTGATGTGTACTAGAAAGAGCCAAGCCTTTGCCGTGAATAGAATAAAATCCTGACTCTGCCATGTATTAATTCTGTGTTGCTTTGGGCAAGACAGTAAACTGCTCTGAGCCTCAGTTTCCTCATCTGACAACAGGGCTCATAGGGTCACTCTGGAGTCCCTAAGTGGTACAAATGGTCTATGGGCTCCACTGCTAACCAAAGGCTAGAGGTTCAAGTCTACCCCGAGATGTCTCTGAGGAAAAGTCCAGCAATCAACTTCCCAAAAAAACATTGAAAACGCCTATAGTGACACACATGAGGCGACAAGGAGTCAGTGTCGAGTTGATGGCAACTGAGCTGAACTGGAAGGTAACTGTGAGGATTAAATGAATTTGCCTGTAAAGCAGTTAATGCAGTGCATGGTATGGAATGGAGTCAATCAAAGGAAGGAAGCCTGCTGTCAGGGCTTCAAACTGGTTCAGCCCAGTTCAGCCCAGTCACAACTGATGAAGTGACACTGGATCAGACTTGGATTTCTAAAGTGTGACCACTAGCCAGAACAGGACAAATTTCAGCTCCAAGCCCTGCTAGAAATGTAATCGCCCTCTTAGAAAACAAGGAGAGTGTGCACAGTGCATAATAATCAAATTTCTTGACCCGCTGAGTCTGAAACAAGTCACCAAAGGATGCAATGCCATTCCAGGCTAACTCAAGGTAACTCTTCCTTCAGGACTACCACCCACCCACCTCCCTGTGCCTTGGAATCCAGAATCCCCCTTGTGGTCACTGATTCTCACCCCAGGCATAATGATCCGCTCAATGTCCCCAAAAATGCTGTCCCAGCTGTCAGGTTCCTCAGGAGCACTCTCAGGAAGCTGGGCTCGCAGGTAGCCAGGCTGCACATCTGGGGTGACCTGCCTCTCCCGCACAGTGCTCAGGTACTGGCAGATGTAATCCACCATCTGTTTTCCTAGAAAGAAGTCAGAGAAATCAAGCTCATGATCCCTGATTGGGTCTGACCAATTTGTGTCTATCTCTCTTGGGTCTAGAACAAGAGACTTAGTGAAGGAAAATCAGATCCTGGACATAGACTTTGTCTCTAGAATGAGACAATAAGAAAGTGAATGAATTATGAAAGTGATCTATGAATGAACAAATGAACAGGAAAGAATTTCTACAAAGCAGAGAACTCTAACACCAAAAAATAATATTTATTTTTCCTTCCCTTTCATTTATGCACATCAATCTTGAGAATTTCTCATACTTTTCCTTCTCAAAAAAATGGAGCATCTATTTCTTTATCACCTTACAGATTCTGTAGAAATGTGATGGCTCTTTCGAGCCAAAAATATATGTTTTACACACACACACACCCTATACTCTGTTAGCACAGATGAAAAATTTCCATGCCCAATCAGATACAGGATTAAAGATGTATTGGATCCCCACTTCCACTGGATCAGTAATTCCTCACCTTATTTTTGAGCCGGTGGATATCTTTGAAAACCCAGTTAAAACTCTAGTCTTAAATTGCAAAAGGGAAAATACTATATAATCCCATGTAAATGAATGCCTAGAATAGGTAATATAGAGAGACCACAGGAAGACTCATTACTTAGAGGACACTGAGCTTTTGGTTAAGGTGATGGAAAAAAAATTAGAGAGAAAAAAAAAAAAAAAAAGGAAATGACTCGTATCCTATGGTGTGGTGCCTTAGGATAAGCACTCAGCCTCAAGGTCGAATTGAACCGTAAGGTCAATCAATGGTTCAAACTCACCATCTGCTCACGGAAACACTATACAGGATCTCTATGAGTTGGAATCACCAACTCCACGGTGCTTAAAACAACAACAATGTTAAACAAAGGAGGCCTTGTGACACAGTAGTTAAGCACTCAGAGGTTAATCAAAAGGCCTGTGGTTTGAACCTACCTATCACTCCACAGGAGAAAAATATGGCAATCTGTTTCCATAAAGGTTGCAGCTTTGGAAACCCTATGAGGCAGTTCTTTAGGGTCTCTGTGAGTCGGAATCTACTTGATGGCAATGAGCTTTGGTTTTGGTCACGTTAAACAAGGTGGTGAAGGTAAATAATGTTACCAAATTGTACATGTAAAATATCTTGAAATGGCAAATATTTTGTTACTTATATATTTATCACACACCAAAAAACCACCCTGTAGACTTAAATGTATACAAAAAGTCTTGTGTTTAATTTCTGAGATTCATGAAATTCCTAAAGCACAAACATAGACCCAGATTTCCATGTGTCATGGAAATGAGGAACCATGTCTTGATCCCATTTTCATCTCTCTATCCCTCTGCCTCCACCAACACCTCAGTGCCTGGATGCGTTTTAAATAATCAAAGAACTTTCTCAAATGAATAAGGAAGTAAAACTGCCCAAGTCCAATACTCTGAAGCCACTGTAAAGTATTTTTTCTCTTTTGTTTTCCTGGATGAGATCTCAGTCTTCAGTGCCTCGTCTCTTGCTGTCTTTGCATATCTATTTCATGTTCTCTCTTTCTTCTATCTCTCTCACTGTTTCTCTCTCCTTCTTTGTGACTGTCTCTTTCTATTTCTCTCAATATTCCTAATCCTTAGACTATCTACCCCTGCAAGAGAGAACTCGGTTTCTTATCTCTTCATGAGGTCAGAAGAAACTCTTATGAGCAGCAGCAGCCGCACACAAAACTGTCAGGGAGACAAAGAGAAGTTTAAGAACCTTCTCTTTCCTGCCACTTCTCTCCTCCCATGGCCCAGTGCCTCTCCTAGAGAACTCCACCAGAGTTCTGAGAATGGAGCACCAAAGCCCTCTACTTGTTCAGAGACAACATCAAGTGTGCTTGTATTCTGCCCACAGGATGAATTTCTACAGGAATCTCAGCTAAATGTACCTTGAGAAAGTAATGGAGTAAGCAAATACACACTGAAATGTAAAGACTGATTGCATCATGGTGGGTTACCTCTGCATGGAAGAAGAGGGAAAGTTGGATTTTACATGGAACCGTGCCTTACAGCAAAAAAAATTTAGACAATATGAGAGACTAGTGGGGCAGGGGAGGGGGAAGGATATAAAAAACTATGGGGAGAAGGACATTCAAGATTCTCTTTTAAGCAACCACCTCCTTCCCTTCTGACGAGAATCATGCCTGGAAGCAAGGTATCCATTGGTTCTTCTCATCACTCAAGGTTTGATTCATAATATCAATCAAACTCCACTCAGGCCTTTCCATCCACAGAACCACTAGATGTGTTCCAACTCCCAACCTTTAGATTATCAGCTCATCACAAACCTCTAGCACCACCGAGGCTCCTTGATATAGAATGTTGTCATTAAGTGCCACTGTGACCGAGCAGAAGTGCCACATAGAATTTCTCACACTTTAATCTTCATGGGAGCTGATCTTTTAAGTCTTTTCCCTCAGTACCACAGGATGGATTCAAAGACAACCTCATGGTTAGCAAATGAGTGCTTAACTGTTGCAACACCAGGGGCTCCCTATTGATTTATAGTTGTTGCTGTTGTTAAGTGTCATTGAGTCAGTTCCAATTTATAGTGATTCTGTAAAGGGTTTCCAAGAGCAGCGGGTGAGTTTGAACTGCTGACCTTGTGGTTAGCACAGTCAGCAGTCCATTGCTTATCCTGAAGCACCACACCAGGGCTCATTGATTGATAGTAGATACTCATTAACTATTTATGGAATGAATGGCTAAATGAAAGAACTAAAACCAATCCAAACCCACTGCCACGGAGTCAATTCTGATTCGTTACAACTCCATAGGACACAGTAGAACTACTCAACAGGGGTTCCGAGACTAAGAATTTTTATGGAAGCAGATAGACTCGTTTTTCACTGGCAGAGTGGCTGGTGGGCTTGAACCACTGACCTTTCCGTTAGCCACCCAATGCTTAACCTACTGTGCCATCAGAGTTCCTTAGATGAAAGAACTGGGTCTGTGATGTTAGCACTAGTAATGTACTGACCCAGAAAAATGAATGTTAAGAAAGAAAAGAACTTTTGCAATGACTACAGAATACTTAGGGAATTATTATTGTCTTTCAGTACAGAAATAATTCCGTTTTCCCTGTCTTCTTGTACGTGCTGTTGTTAAATGCCGTTGAGTCGGTTCCAGCCCATAGTGACCCCATATAGAGTTTCTGTGGAGTGGCTGGTGTACTTGAACCACCTACCTTGTGGTTCAAACCGACCTTACAGAACAGAAATTCAAGTCTTCTTGAATTTAAAAGGTTAGAAAGTTGAGAGGAGACGTGCGACACAATCATGTGGCCATAGATGAGAGTGGGGATAAAGATGGAAGATGAAAGAGAAGTTGATAAAAGTTTAAACTCTGATCCTGTATGCCTGGAATGCATTCCTGAAGCCAACTCTAAATCTTCAATTAGAATTTAAAGCAATTTGTTTTCTCCAGGTCAAATAGCATCCCCAAATCTAACGGTCACGCACCAGTAGCAGTTCCTGACAGAGGGTCAGGGACACAAATCACTCACCTCTCTCTCTGTACTCCTCTGGCTCCATCATCTCCCCTCAGTTCAGGCGCCCTCTCACAGACTCTCAGGAGCTGGGAGGTAGTGGAAGGTGGTGAGAGGCAGTTCAGCAGCCCAGCCTCCTGCCTGCTGGTCCTGAGCACTCCTGGGGAACCAGTGTGGGTCTCTTATTTAAAGGATTCACTGACGTCTACTTTTCTTTGGCCTTAGCTCCGCCCTTCAAAGTCCCTTCAACTAGGTTTAATTATTCCACCCCTTCTCGCCCCACTCCTAATTGGGGGCAGTGACCAGAACTTTAGCTCTTGGAGAGGTTGCGGATAAAAAGCACTTCTAAAATTAAACAGTGTGCTTAGCAACCCAGGCCTGCAGGCAGCCCCCAGGTAGGTGTGGTGTGAGAAACCAAAACACAAACCCACTGTCATCTAGCTGATTCTCTTAGAGATTCTGTAGGACAGAGTAGAATTGCTCCACAGTATTTCTGAGGCTTCAGATCCTTACAGATAGCCTCATCTTTCTCTCGCTGAGTAGCTGAGCTGCAGACCTTGTGGTTAGCAGTGCCATGTATACCTCACTATCCCTCCATGGCTCCTGGATGTTCTTTCTGCCCCTGAATTCAGACAATCGGGCGCCAGTCTCAGAAACAGTCTCCAACTGCAGACTAAGTCTCATTCTCACCACTGCTCCCCTCTCAGCAGTGGGGAGGAAGGGGCAGGCATTTAGGCAGCCCCTTCCCTGCTGACCCGGCTGTGCTTGGGCTAATGTTCAGGCAGATGTTATCATCTCTAGCACATGGGGGGGGGGGGGGTTTCTTCATTAATACATAAAATTTGTAGAAAGATGAGAAAGCACAGGTAAACCAAAAGAATAAAAAGGAAAACATCCCTCAGAGATAATCAGTTTTAGCACATAAAGGTATGTGCATGTGTGTGTGAGACAGAGAGAGAGAGAGAGAGTGTGTGTGTGTGTGTGTGTGTAAAGGAACATGCAGAAACTACTACAAGGGACAAAGACGTTGAGAATAGACTTTTCTTTTTTACTTTCTGTTATTTTTTCCACTCTTCATCTTTCTTGTCCCCTTAGAGGCCTACATCCTCATCCTCTCTCTTGCTTCCGTGATTCTATCTCCTGGTTTCCTTCTACCTCTCTGACTGGTTTTCCTCTTCCCTCTAGTTCTTAAGGAGTCCTGGTGTGGTGCTGTGGGCTAATGCACTGGACTGAAAAGTCAGTTTGATCCACAAAGTCAGAAGTTCAAGCTCACCAGCTGTGCCTCGGAAACCCTATACAGAGTCACTGTGGGTTGGAACTGACTCAATGGCACTTCACAACAACCAGTCTTTAAATGTCAGCATGGTCCAGGTCATCGGCCCTCTCTCATCTCTCTTCCTAGGTGTCTTTACTGATTTCTGTGCCTTTAAGTGGCACCTCTGTAACAGTCATATAAAGCCTAAACCACTTCTTACATTGATGCTACCAGGCCCGAGTTGTCTTCTGAGTTCCAAAATAGTACATCTGTAAGAGAAAATTTTCTCACAGTTTTCAGATTTGCTAGTAGCTCTGAGAACAATAGTCCACAAGATGTTACCCTTAACTTTAGGAGTCAAAATCACACACACACACAAACAATGTCTACAAACAAATCATATAGAACCTTGTCTTGACTGATTGTTTGGCAAGATATTTCCAACAGAAGAAGCAATTTCTTTCTCACAAAAATGGCCATTTAGTGGCAAAGACCATTAAACCAGAGCTGGCATTCATCCATTCAGCAAATACTTGTCAGATACTTTTCTTGAGTCAGGCACTGATGTGAGTGTTGAGGGTGTTTTGAACTGGAGTAGATAGAAAGTAAGCAAAGAAAATACATGGGCTGTCATAAGTGAGTAAGTGTAGTGGAGGGGAAAACAATTCAGAGGTGGTGTAAAATGGATGCAAGATTAGACAAGTCAAGCAGACCAGCCTGGAGTGGCTAGAAGAACAGAAGATACTTCTTGAAAGAAAAACCTACAGGAAAAATATAAAACAACATAGGCAGACCGACTGTTACTACAAGAAAAAGCAACTTGCTTGCCCAGGAAACATCAAGGCAAGTGGTCGGGTCTCCTCAATGCAAACCCC